ATACTGCTGTTTACTGAGAAACAAGAAATAGTACTAAAAGCTGTTAAAGACAGTGTTTTTGTTTATAAGGCTTTTGCTTGGAAATAATTTTGTAGAATTGCTAGTTCTTTGATTAAGAAATAAAATCCAAGGTGGATAATGGTTGGCTTTAAGGCAAGTAAATGTTTCTCGACCAGTTGCCTACAGCTGACGAGCTCCAGTAAGAGCGAAACCACTTCTCACTCCACTGAAACAATTTTGAAGTGTGAATTGGTCCTGTAGTACTGTGTCAGAAACAGAAACAACTCTCAGGGGGGAAAAAAGTGCTTGAATTAAGAGGAATTTTGTGACTGCTAAATTTAAATACAGTATTTTCCCCTAATGAGTAAGAGTTGCTAAAAAGTCAAATAACCTGTGTTACTTCTTACCTCAAAAAAGCAACAGATATTGTAATCTATAATTGTAGTCGCTATATCTATATACATGAGTGTGAATTTGATTTATACAAGCACTTCTTAATTAAAACAATCTTGTAAACAAATGTCTAGTTTTATGTCCTACCCCTTTAATCTACTTCTAGGCTATTCTGTCCTCAGTAGCTTTAATGATAACTACCCCCACCCCTAAGAAAAAACTTGGACAGCAGCCAGATTGGCCTACATCACCATTGCCAACTGGAGGCCCACAAGAGGAGTCAGCTGACCCTGGTTAATCGTGGACAATCAAGTTCATCATGGCTCCCCTCCCCGCACCATTCTTGTACAGTTATTTACTCTTTAGTGATGGCTTTTTACATATATGCACATAAATCTTCTTTAACTTCTCTCCTTTTCCTTTTGCCTCCAATCAGTATTCATTTGAGCATCAGAAAACTATGTTTGCAAGTTAAGGGATTCTCAGATGCCAGTTCATCTGAAGAGTTTTTTCAAAGGTCATGGGCATATTACTGAGCAACAGTATAGAAAGTGCTTGTCTTTTTTTTTTTTTTTTTTTGGCGGTACGCGGGTCTCTCACTGCTGTGGCCTCTCCCGTTGCGGAGCACAGGCTCCGGACGCACAGGCTCAGTGGCCGTGGCTCACGGGACTAGCCGCTCTGCGGCATGTGGGATCTTCCCGGACCGGGGCACGAACCCGTGTCCCCTGCATCGGCAGGCAGACTCTTCAACTACTGCGCCACCAGGGAAGCCCAGTGCTTGTCTTTTGAGGTTGAACTAAGCCTTCTTTAATTTACAGGAGGATAATACGTAAAACAGTCAAAGCTGAGATAATTATAAAAACAGTGTTTGTTTTTTTACCTAGATGAATATCCAGCAGAATGAGACCTTTTTGTTGTTCTGTACTGTCTTACACCTGACAAGTCTTCTTACAACCTGGTTCCCACCCTCTAAATGTCCTTCAACCGACCCCCCAGCTCATTGTGTAAACCCAATCCCACCCTCACTGAGAACCACTGAACAGCCTTTGCAAGAATGACTGTAAAGGTAGTAGAGAATATATTTGTTAGATTTATTTATCTATTTATTATTACTATTATATTGCTTGAGATTTACAAAGTTTGATTCAAAGTGTGGTTCCTCTTCTTTGCAAGAGATCATTTAAAAGGCTGTTCAGAGATGTCACAAGGAAAAACAAAAACAAAAAACAAAACAAAAAAACAAACAAAAAAAAGAAATGTCTCAAGGAAGGCTGCCACTATGTACCTGATGATTATAAATGAAGTATGTTTTCATTTACATGAGAGATTATTTTTGTACTTCCCCTGAGGGAAAATTTGAAGGAAAATGTGGCCTTAGAATATGTCCTTTAAATATAATTAGGCTCTGGATAGACTGAAGGGAAGAACGTTCTAGATTAGAGCAAAGCCATGGAAATGTTAATGAGCACATTGTTTGGAGGAATCTTGAATAGACTGGTCAGGCACTGGCAAAGTATAATGCTATAGTGAAGTACTAGGGTTTTCGGAGTGTGTCGAGAGAGAAGGTTGGAAGAATACTACAAGTGGTTTATTGAGGAATTGCAACTCTGAGGTATAAACATGAAATGCTCACATCCCCTCCACTTCCCTCTGAGGTGCAGTCCTTCAATATGTCTTGGTTTGATGTCATAACTCTTCTGCTGCCACTTTTGATAACCAGAAAAAACTTATTCCAGAAATTAAGGCAGGTTTCAATCGTTTACAAAACAAAAGCAACAAAAAACGTTAATCATAAACTATCATCTCCCTAAAGAAATGTTGAAGCTGTTAGTTCCCAGCTGCTTGGATTAAAGAAGAGGTGTAATTTGGCTCTAAAATATGTTCCCTCTCCTTTCTCTAACTAGCCCTTTTGCAGTTGGGGGAAGAAAACCAGCCAGTGGAGGCAGAGTTCTCACTCTCTGAAACTTTAAAGAGGGCAGAGATAGCTCTGGCCTTACTCTGGTGCATCTGGTTGTATTTGATGGTGGTCTCTGGAGGTGGTATGTGTAGATATCTGGGGGACAGTGTTGTAGCTCCCTGGACCCTTGTGCCATTGAGGACTTGCTTCATAGGGCAGCTCCTGTTCCCCTTTGGCAGAGCCAATGTAGTATACTCTTCAACCCCTTCTCTGGATTGGGTGACACAGGAGGGAGGAATGGAGTGAGACTGAGAAACCAACAATTCAGTGTTCCAGGTAGGAAGTTATCAGGCCTGGGTTGGGTTGCAGGTTGGGGACAGTGACAGTAGAAAGGAGGGTATAATGGCAGGAGACATGAAATTAGTAAAAGAATATGAGGCTAAAGGAAAGGAAGGAGTCATGACTAAGAAAAATGATACCATTGACAGAAATAAAATAAAGATTATCTGGGGGTACTCAATTTTAGGAGCTATTGTTACGGTTTTGGATTTAGCCATTTTTGAGTTGAGCCATTGGAAATGCCTGTATTCATTTGAGATTTTATTTTATGTAGAGATAGAGTGAAGACAAAGAGATAATTCATTATCTGTAACTCAAGAGCACAGGAATGAAAATAATTAAAGTGGGCATCAACTATGAGTTTTTGGTTTAAGTTATCAAAGTGGATGAATTCTGGGAAGGAAAATAAAGTTGAGGACTGAACCCTGGGGAATATGAAAGCTGGATGAGAAGATAACGATTGTTTGTATAATGCTTTTTCTGTTGGCAAAGCACGGTACACAGGCAAGAGCCTTAAGAGTTCTCAAATGAGTTTTTTTTCACTTGCTATCTATGCTGGAGAGTCACAATGCCTTCGTAGACTCATTCTCTTTTAAATAGATTCTTGATCTGCTTTCCATTACATTTGGTCAGCTCTGAATTTGACTTCAGTAGATATCACATAGCATTGACTAGTTATGATGTTTCTAAATTAAGATTTCAAATTCAGCAGCAACACATTCACAAGTTGTATCTTGAAATTAGTTACTTTGAGGAAGGTAACACAGGTGGCTAATGTCCCTGTTTGAGAATTACTTTACTTTGTCCTAGATTTGGAATACAGCATACTCACAAGGCTTTTTGTTACTGCATTTATTTGTATTGCCTAAACCAAACCTTTATTGCTAGTGTGGACTTTGTCTTAGTATGCAATATATGCAGCAAGATAATAATGATAATTTGTTTGATTGTTTGGAAATATGTTTTACAGGTAGGTAATTTATAGTATTAAGGCCAACGTCTGTATTAGTCGATGCCAGAGTATTTAACAAACAAGTTGGTTTTCTTTTCCTTTCTTAGAATTATTCTTCCCATTTTCTGCGTTCCTAGTCCTCAAATACTGCTTTTCTCATATTACTTCTTTGCTTTAATTCCACAAATATTTGAAAACCTAGTATGTGCTAGAAATTCTGTGGTATAATCAAGTATACAAGTCTGTCATGATTTATCGTCCTTCTTAACAACCTTCACTCCTGCATATCATTCTGAGGATTCTACCTGACCATCTTCTCTTACCCTTTTTCACCATCCTCTGATCACCACCTTCACCACAGACCAACGTAAACACGTATCTTTCTTTTATTCAAATATTAATCTTTCTGTTTTCCATTTATACCTTACATCTGGAAGTATTTCTTCCCTAGTGTCTTTCAAAACTATGATCTGCCCACTTTTTTATCCAACCTCACATGACTCCAGTACGTGCTTGGTTGATGTCTGACAAAAGAAGTTGACAATTCTTCTTCATCAAGATTGCTGGAATATTTTTATTTTTCTGCCTCAGGATAATTTTTAAAGTTGACTAATTTTCAGAAAATAACTAGATTAGTAACCCTCGTAAATGGCATAAAATATATTTTAACATTGTTGAATTAATTTTGTAAGTGTTTCTTTTATGACCTAAGCAATGCATATGAGGTCCATTTGAGTTGTACTGGACATTGTGTGTTCTTGACGAGAATATTTGGAAATCGCCATGATACTTCCTGCATCCCTGGGTGAAAAATGAATTCCTGTCAGGGATCCTTTACACCCTGACTTCTTTCAGCTCAGCTCTAGGTGTCTGGGCTATAGGTAGCTGTGTTTTGTTATTGTTCAGTTTTCCTTTTGCAATAGATATTTATCATTGTTAATGTACATTGTTTTATTATCTTGATTTGTAATTTCTTGCCTAGTGTTTTCATTACTATCTTATTTCCCCAATAGTTTCTTACAAATTCTTTAGATAGTCTTTTTCCCTTTGTGGAGCTGAAGGAATTCTAAACAATTCTTGGGCACTAATCTTCCTGTTATTAGTATCATTCCATACCCAACGTCTTATGGGGGTGATTGGGGAATGCCAGACTGCAACTGAAGTGAAGTTGTAGGACTGGACTGAAGGAGAAAAGAGAATGAGCCTTTGTAGCACCTGACTAGTTGTGGCTCACTTGGGTCAGCTGTTATATTCTTTCCCCGCCCCCAACCCAAGGAAAGAATTTTTAAAGAATTATTAGTGGTAAAATGTGCGGCCTTAGATTTTCCACATCATGGAATGTGTGCAAATATATATGGGGTCTTGGTTTAAAAAAAACTTTTTAAAAAAAAGTTTATATTTTGACTTTCTCAGATGTAAAACGAAGATCAGGAACAGCTTTGAAGAGATGCAAAGTGAATTGGTGTCAGTCAGCATGTCAGAAACAGAGCACATAGCCTCCATTTCCTCTGATCAAAATATTGAGAAAACATCTGAAATAAAGGAAGACTCATGCAATTCGTTTTCTGGTGATGAAAACAGCAGCTTGGAAAATGAGTCCAAACTGTTGTCATTAAACTTTGATAAAACTTTATGTCAGCCTAGTGAACACAATAATCAAATTGAAACAAAGGAAAATTATATTCCAGATCATGGTGGAGGTGAGGATTCTTGTGCTAAAACAGACATATGCCCAGAAAATTCTGAACAAATAGCTAATTTTCCTGGTGGAGATTTTACAAAGCAAGTTTTGAAAACAAATGAAGCAGAACAAACAGTAACACAAATATTGGCGGAATTAAGGTCATCTACATTTACAGAAGCAGCTAATCAAAAGACCTATTCAGAGAGTCCTTATGATACAGACTGCACCAAGAAACTTATTTCAAAAATGAAGAATGTTTCAACATCAGAGGATTTGTTGGAAGAAATAGAATCTGAGCTCTTATCTACTGAGTTTGCAAAAGAACACCGACTACCAAATGGAATGAATAAGGGAGAAAATGCATTAGTTATGTTTGAAAAGTGTGTGCAAGATAAGCATTTGCAGCAGGAGCATACCATAAAGAAGTAAGTGTTTTATTCTTTCAGGTTATTTTTTTCCACAGGGATTAAAGATTGAATTCTTTAAAGGAAGGTATCATTTTATCTACTTTTATTTCCGCAATAGAGCTATGCACGTGGTAGTTGAGCAGATGTCAAGTTTGCCTAGTTATTTAATATATAACTCTGTTTTTTCTTAGAATGTGGTATTTTATTTTCATTGTTTTAGAAATAATAGGTAAACTGTTTTTATGAGAGTTATATATAATATGCCTATGTCAAATATGTTAGCATATATAGAAACATATATTTATCTATGTATAAAGGCACTGTTTTGAATATGATTCAAAATTTCTGTTCTACATATGTCTTAGTGTATAAGTTTAAAAGAATAAATGTTTTATTAACGTGTAAGTTTATTAAAAATCTAGAAAGATTTATAAAGACAAATAAATTTATATTCAAATTTTTCAGTTTTGAAAGAATGTAAAACATAATGTCAGAATTAAGATAAATTCAAGAGGAATGGCAAATTATAAAATTCAAAAAATTTTCTTAAAATTCCCACTGTAAATTCATTCATTTAAAAAATGAAAAGAATTGGTTTAGTGTCATTCAGTAAATAAGAACATAGTTATTTTTAGACTTCTCTTGGATTTATGGAGTTAATTTCTATTTTAACAGTTTAATTTCATTTTATCTTTTCCTAATAATGTCACCCTTTGTTTTAAATTTATATATGTGAGTGATGCATATGTTTAGGTACTCCTATAACCTTTAATAAAGGAAAATAAAACTTACTAGCCTTCACTAAAATACAGACGGATTCTCTTTTTAAAAAAGTGATACTTTAAAAAAAATTTTGGAATGGTAAAAAAATTTTTGGAATGGGAGGGGTGTGTGTAGAGAAAGGGGAGGAGGAAATCTACACACTAGAGGAGGATGACAGAGGAAAATATACCATAATCCAAATATTGCTTGATATGCAATTGACTTTTAATGATCTCCTTGCTTCTAGTATTTACTCTTCCAGATTATCAGTAGATCAGTCTTCCCCAAGCCAGCTCACCCTTCATTGGTTTACCCAATGAATTTTAATCTCAGCATCCAGAGCCCTTCTTTTTTCTATTTTTTTATTTTTCAATTGTGATAAAATACACATAACATAAAATTTACCATCTTAACCATTTTTAAATGTGTGCAGTTTGGTAGCGTTAAGTATATTCACATTATTGTACAACCGATCTCCATAGCTTTTTCATCTTACAAATCTGAAATTCTATACCTATTAAACAACAGCTCCCTGTTTCCCCCTGCCCCAGCCCCTGGTAACCACCATTCTTCTTTGTTTCTAAGAGTTTAACTGCTTTTGATACTATTTGCCGTTTTGTGACTGGCTTATTTCACTTAGATGTCCTCAAGGTTCATCCATATTGTAGCCTGTGTCAGAGCTTCCTTCCTTTTTAGGGTTGAATAATATTCCATTGTATGTATACATACCACATTTTGTTATCTGTTCATCCATCAGTGGACATTTGGGTTGCTTCTACCTTTTGGCTAATATGAATAACGCTGCTGTTAACATGAGTGTACAAATATCTCTTGAGAATCCAATACCTTTCTTAATACTATGCAAAAACCAATGTCAGCTACTCCTCATAACTTTACTGGAATGCTGCTGTTACTGAAAAAACTGTGATTTTATACTTGAACCATCAGTATTTCTGCCATTCTTGCTTTTTAGGGTAACTTCCTCATTTTCCTGTTACCTGTACTTATCTCTTAGACCTTCCCTTTGAGATCATCCTTGATGCCTCTACTTTCCTCAGATTTGGAGACTTAACCACTTTCAAGCTTCTCTTGTAAATTATAAGATGTTACAGATTTAATAATAGTATCAGGAACACTTACATGCTGTTAATTATGTGCCTGGCACTTTACATGTATTAACTCATGGAATCCTCACAACAACCCTATGTGGTATGAACTATTATTATTCCCATTTTACAGATGAGGTACTTGAAGCACAGAGAGGTTAAGTAACTTGCTTCAGGTCACATGCTAGTAAATGGCAAAGTTAAAATCTGAACCCAATTAGTGTGGCTGCAGTGGATTTTTTTAATGTGGTTATCTGAAATGAACAAGTTACATGTTATTAAATTTATCTAAAAACATTAGGAATACAGTAGAAAATTAATTCCTCTTTTGTTCTGTCATGTCAGAACAGTGGCCACATGGTAGACTGGGGTGAGCACAGTTCTGGTCAGAAGCCCAGAATTGGAAGATTCCCACTGCCACTTGCACGCTCTGTTTCCTTAGTTAAATCAACCTCTCCAAGACGAAGATTTTTTCATCTTTATGAGGGGACAATACTTACCTGATGGGATTGTTTTGAGGACATTAAAGCATTATAAAAATGTCAAATATTATTTTAAATCTAAGTTAATTTTTTGTTATACATGTAATTTTTTTTTTTTTTTTTGCGGTACGCGGGCCTCTCACCGTTGTGGCCTCTCCCGTTGCGGAGCACAGGCTCCGGACGCGCAGGCTCAGCAGCCATGGCTCACGGGCCCAGCCGCTCCACGGCACATGGGATCCTCCCGGACCAGGGCATGAACCCGTGTCCCCTGCATCGGCAGGCGGACTCTCAGCCACTGCGCAACCAGGGAAGCCCATACATGTAATATTTTAAATTTCAAATAAAATGCTTTGTGATTAAGGTTAGCTCTAAAACAACTCATTTTTTTTCTTTTGCCTTCATTTAATTTTCTGTAAAGAAAACTACCTTTCAGTTCCTTTGGCTTAAATTTTCATGAATGTATCTATTTCCAAATGGCTTTGTTTATACATCCATTCCTCTATTTTCTAACATCAATATTATTGTCCAAGGTCCCAACCAGAATTCTTAATTAAGAACAGTTATTTGTGTATAGGATATGCATTTGGCATGTAAGAATAACAATTTCAGGGCTTGCTGTTCTTCACTTGTCCCTCCCTAAATTGTTTACTTTCAAGGTATAGTCAGGATTCTTGTGTTTCAGGTTGTTTTTTGCAACAAATTGAGTGTACACCTTAATCATGTACATTATCAAAGTTAAATCCCTGTGCCATAAAAGGCTTGAAGAAACTTGCATGCTGCACATTTTTTTCTTTTCCCAAACATTTTCATGACTTTCCTCCTCACTGCATTCCTGTCCTCCTCAGAGAGGTCTGTCCTGATTACCTTATGTACAATCACAGCTCAAGTCACTCTCCCTGTCCTCTTGCCCTCCTTTAGTTTTCTTAATAGAACTTAATCACAACTTGGTATTTCACTATATATCTATTTATTGTTTAATTTCTCTGTTAGAATGTAAGCATCATGAGGGCAGGGACAGTTTGCTGATGTACCCCCAACATATAGACTAATATAGGTACATAGTAGGTACCCAGTGAGCATTTGTTGAGTAAATGAGGGATCTTCAAAGGAGAATATGGCAAGGAATTAGACCTGGGTCCAAATTTCAGTTCAACCGCTTACTAGCTATATAACCTGGAATAAGTTCTAGGCTTCAGTTTTGGTTTGTTTTCAGATTCATAAAGCATAATAATAATAATTTCGTAGACTTATTAATTTATAGACCTGAGTGTTAAATAATGCATTTAAAGCTAAACTTAGTAAATAGTAATTGTGCAATAAATGTCAAATAATAGCTGTTGCTAGTAATCCTAAAATATTAGCTGTTAACCCTCTTACGTATCTTACTTTATAGTTCTGAGTACTTTTACAGGTAATCTTTAAGGTTTTTATATTTTTCCAGGGAACTCAAAATGAAATTTCTGCTTAAACTTTATTATTTTACATTGACTACTTTTGTAAGTATAAGAATATCATTAAAATATTTTAAAAATCGGACTTCCCTGGTGGTGCAGTGGTTGAGAGTCCGCCTGCCGATGCAGGGGACGCGGGTTCGTGCCCCGGTATGGGAGGATCCCACATGCCGCGGAGCGGCTGGGCCCGTGGGCCGTGGCCGCTGGGCCTGCGCGTCCGGAGCCTGTGCTCCGCGGCGGGAGGGGCCACAGCGGTGAGAGGCCCGCGTACCGCAAAAAAAAAAAAATTTAAAAAATCTAAAGCAAGATTTCGCAACCACAGCACTATTGACATATGGGGGCAGATCATTTTTTGTTGATGCTGGGGCTATCCTGTGCATTGTAGGATGTTTAGCAGCATCCCTGCCTCTGTGCACAAGAAGCCAGTAGCAACCCTCACCACTGTAGTGGCTACCAAAAAGTGTCTCCAGACAGATGCCTGGAGGGGAAAAATTGCCCCTGGTTGCCACTGACTGACCTGAAGGGATTCTGGTGCTGAAGGGATGAACTATGTAATTCATATGCCTGTAGACATAAACTTAAAAGTGTGTGGTTTTCTTTATCTGATTATATTTCTCTTAATTTGAAATAATACAAATTTCTAGGAAAAAGTTAATAGCCTGACTGGCCAGAGAATGTTTTGTAAAGTATAATGTATCATTACAAAAGGACTACTTGGGAATTTTCATTTCTTAATTATAGGTATCTATACCCTAGTCTGCAAACAGATTATATTACACATTGTCATTTTTAATTATGTTTTACTGATACTGCCTTTTTATATTTAGGTTAATTAAAGAAAATAAGAAGCATCAGGAACTTATCTTAGACATTTGTTCAGAAAAAGACAATTTAAGAGAAGAACTAAAAAAAAGAACAGAAACCGAGAAGCAGCATATGAACACAATTAAACAGGTAAAAAGACAAAAATCTTTAAAGTCTATTCTTCAATATATAAAATAAATACATTCCTGAATATTTGTGTGTAAATTGAAGTTCTGTAAGTTAAATCATACTTTAAATGCAGAAGATTGCTTGGTTTGTGAAGCATTCTCTTTTATGAACTGGGAATCATAGTCTGATCTTCTTGTTTTATATAAATTGATATTTCTATGTGATATGTGTGACTATATTCTATATATAATAGAAATCTGAGCAGGAAAGACTGTTTGGCAGTCAAATAGATTGTTTTGGAAGAAGCAGTATATACTTAAAAGTTTATATCTGGCATTAGAATGTTTTCAAGCTTATAGTTTAATATGTTTCCATTCTCAGTATTTTGTGAACTATACTGAAGACTGGCTCTCTTCAGACTTTATCTGGTGAGCTAGCTTCCCCAGCCTTTCCTTTTCTTTCTTTGTTTCTTTTTTCTCTCTTTCTTTCTTTCTTTTTTTTTAAATGTACTGTGATGCTTGGATTGACAAAGTTCATCTTTGTTTTCTTTGTTTCTTTTTTTTTTCTTTCTCTGTTTCGTTCTTCTTTTTTTTTTTTTTAATGTACTGTGATGCTTGGATTGGCAAAGTTCATATTCAAGACTGGTAGCAAAGCTCAGCTGCTCTTTATCTTTCTGAGCTGCTTTTTCTTCTGTGGGAAGGATTAGAAACATTGTAGCCTTAATCTTTTTGCCTCATCTTTCACAGAAAGCTATATAATGAAAATAAAAGTAAACAGCTGGTAGTAATATAATAAAAAACCAAGTTTCACTTATCTATGCCGTGGTATACTTAATGAACCTTTACATAGTTGGAAGGTGACCATATTTGTAAAATTTTACATATTTAACCCTGATTTTTGTGTGGAAAGGGCTACTGCATGCAGACCAAACTTAGAATTTTAAAGTGTGAGGGTGCCTTAATAGTAGCCTGAATCTATATTTTGGTAGGCAGGTCACTGCTGATGACCAGAAACTTCAGACTAAATAGATGAAGGTGAACCAGAGCTGTTCTTTTCATGAGCTTGTTAGTGGTTGTGCCTTTTTAAAAGAGAAAATTCGATTCACCTTTCTTTTGCTAGCCAGTATAGCAGAGTTTTCTTTCCTAATTTTATCTGTGAATCTGCACCACTTAATATGGTAGCCACTAGCCATAGTGCTATTGAGCACTAAAAGGTGGTTAGTCCAAATTAAGAGGTGATGTAAGTGTAAAATACACACTTAATTTCAAAGACTTAGTACAAAAAAAGATAAAATGGCTCAGTTTTTCATGTTGATTACGTGTTGAAATGATATTTATAGGGTTTAATAAAACATTTATTTCACCTGTTTCTTTTTGCTTTTTAAAATGTGGCTACTAAAAAATTGTGGCTTAGGGGCTTCCCTGGTGGTGCAGTGTTTGAGAGTCTACCTGCCGATGCAGGGGACGCGGGTTTGTGCCCCGGTCCGGGAGGATCCCACATGCCGCGGAGCGGCTGGGCCTGTGAGCCATGGCTGCTGAGCCTGTGCGTCTGGAGCCTGTGCTCCGCAATGGGAGAGGCCACAACAGTGAGAGGCCCGCGTACTGCAAAAATTAAAAAAAAAAAAAAAATTGTGGCTTATATTTCTGTTGGACAGTGTTGCTCTAAATAATTTTGTCATAAGGAAAATTAGTACACATGTACTATGAGTAAACTAATATTTAGGGTTTTTTATAACAGCTTTATTGAGATATAATTCACATACCATATAATTCACTTATTTCAGTATACAGTTCAGTGGTTTTTAGTTGTGCAGGGTTTGTCACAATTTTAGAAAATTTTATCATACAAAAAGCTCTGAACCCGTTAGTAGTCACTCCTCATTTCCCTCCAACCCCTCGCAGCTATCTCCCCCCATATATATTTGCCAATTTGCCTATATATTTGCCAATTCTGAACATTTCATATAAATGGAATCCTATAATATGTGTCCTTTTCCTTCATATAAATGGAATCATATAATATCTGGCTTCTTTCACTTAGTGTAACGTTTTCAAGGTTTCAATCAAATTGTAGCTTGTATCAGTACTTAAATTAATGGCCAAGTGATATTCTGTTGTATAAGTATACAACATTTTATTTATCCTTTCATCATCTGATCGATATTTGGGTTGTTTGCACTTTCTGGCTATTATTAACAATGCTGCGATGTAGAAGTTTTTGTGTGGACATATGCTTTCATTTCTTTTGGGTGTCTACCTAGGAGTGGAATTGTTGGGTCAAATGATAACTCTATGTTTAACTTACTGAGGAGCTGACAGACTGTTTTCCAAAGTGGCTGCACTATTTTATATTCCCTACCAGCAGTGTATGAGGGTTTCATTTTCTCCACATCCTTGCCAATGCTTGTTATTATTGGACTTCTTTATTATAGCCATCCTAATGGTTGTGAAATGGTATCTCCTGATTTTGATATGCATTTCCTTAATCACCAATGAAATTACACATCTTTTCCTGTGCTTCTTGGCCATTTGTATCTCTTAAATAGATACTTCTAGGGAAGTATTTTCTCTACCCATTTTTAAACTTTTTTATTGTTGAGTAGTGATAGTTCTTTTTAATATTCTGGATTATAAACCTTTATCAGATATATGATTTGCAAATATTTCCTCCCATTCTGTGGATTTGTTTTCACTTTCTTGATAGTGTACTTAGAAGGACAAAAGTTTTAAATTTTGATGATGTCCAGTTTTATCTATTTTTTCTTTTAATTGCTTGTGCAGTTGGTGTCATATGTAAGACTCCATTGCCAAATCCATGATAATGAAGATTTACTCCTATGTTTTCCTCTAAGAGTTTTATAATTAGGCTTTTATATTTAGGTCTTGATTCTTTTTGAATTAATTTTTTTTATATTGTATGATATACAACTTCATTCTTTTGTATATGGCTATCCAGTTGTCCCAGAACCATTTATTAAAAAGAGTATTCTTCCTCTATTGAATGGTCTTGGCATCCCTGTTGAAAACCAATTGATAACATCAACTTATTTCTAGACTCTCAGTTCTGTTTCTTTGATCTATTTGTCTTTCATTATGCTAATAGCACACTATCTTGATTTCTGTTGTTTTGCAGTAAGTTTTGACATTGGGAAGTGTGAGTTCTCAAATTTTGTTCTTCTTTTCCGAGATAGTCTATTCTCAGTTTCTTATATTTCCATATGAATCTTACTATCAACTTGTCATTCTACAGTGAAGCCAACTGGGTTTGTTAGGGATTGCATTGAATCTGTAGACTTCATTTGGAGAGTATTGCCATTTTAACAATATTATGTTTTTCAATTCACAAACAAGGGATATCCTCCCACTTATTTAGATCTTTAATTTCTTTCTAAAGTGCTCTGTAGTTTTTGGAGAAATATTTGCAATTCCTTCATTAAATTTATTCCTAGGTAGTTTATTCCTTTTGATGCTATTGTAAATGGAGTTGTTTTCTTAATTTCATTTTCAGATTGTTAATTACAAGTGTATATAAAACTTTTATTTATTTATTTATTTTGCTGCATTGACTCTTCGTTGCTGCACGCGGGCTTTCTCTAGTTGTGGCAAGCGGGGGCTACTCTTCGTTGTGGTACGTGGGCTTCTCATTGCGGTGGCTTCTCTTGTTGTGGAGCATGGGCTCTAGGTATGCAGGCTTCCGTAGTTGTGGGTCGTGGGCTCTAGAGCACAGGCTCAGAAGTTGCGGCGCATGGCTTAGTTGTTCTGCGGCATGTGGGATCTTCCCGGACCAGGGCTTGAACCCGTGTCCCCTGCATTGGCAGGTGGATTCTTAACCACTGTGCCACCAGGGAAGTCCCAACAATTTTTTAATATTATATTCTGTAACTTGGCTATACTTGTTTATTAGTTCTAAAATCTTTTGGCAAATTTCTTAGGATTTTCCATATATAAAATCATGTCATCTGCATGTAGAGAGTTTTACTTCTTCGTTTCTCATCTGAGTGCTTTTTATTTCATCTCCTGCCTGATTACCCTGGCTGGACCCTCCAATACAATGTTGAGTAGAAGCGGCAAGAGTGGATATCCTTCTCTCATTTCTGAAGCATTGTCTTTCACCACTAAGTTCGGTGTTAGCTGTCGGCTTTTCATAGATGCTATCAGGTTGAAGAAGTTCCTTTTTATTCCTAGTTTGTTGAGTATTTTTATCATGAAAGAGTAAAATGCTTTTTCTACATCTGTTGAGATGATTATGTGTTTTTTGTTCTGTCGATATGGTGTATTACATTAATTGATTTTTGGATATTAAACCAACATAGTTTTACTGTGATAAATCCCTTTTGGTCATGGAGTATAATTCTTCTTATATATTGCAGAATTGTTTTGCTAGTATTTTGTTGAGAATTTTTCTACCTATATTCATAAGAGCTATTGCTCTTGTAGCTTTCTTTCCTTGTGATGTCTTTGGTTTTGGTGCAGCATAGTACTGACTTCATAGATTGAGTTGGGAAGTGTTCCTTTTTTTGGCAGGGGGGACAATTTGTGAAGAATTAGTATTAATTATTTAAATGTTTGGTAGAATATACCTATGTAGTCACTTGGACCTGAATTTTTCTTTGTTGGTAGTTTAAATTTTTTTTTTGTTACTAATTTAATCTCTTATTACAGGCATGCCTTTTTTAAAATTGCACTTCACCATATTGCAGTTCATAAGATATTGTGGTTTTTACAAATTGAAGATTTGTGGCAACATGTGTTGTCAGATGGTGGTTAGCATTTTTTAGCAATAAAGTATTTTTTAATTAAGGTATGTACAGTTTTTTTTAGACATAATGCTGTTGCACACTTAAAAGACTACAATATAGTGTATACATAACTTTAATATGCACTGGGAAACCAAAAAATTTGTGTGACTTGCTTTATTGCAGTACTTGCTTTATTACAGTGGTCTGGACTGAACCCGCAATCTCTCTTGAGATATGCCTGTGTAGGTCTATACAGATTTTCTATTTCTTCTTGAGCCAGTTTTGGTAGTTTGTGTCTTTCTAGGAATTGTGCATTTAATCTAAGTTAAATTGTTCATAATATTCATTCATAATTCTTTTTATTTCTGTAAGGTCAGTATGTCCCTCTTTCATTTTGATTCTTGTGATCAATCTAGCTAAAGGTTTGTCAGTTTTGTTGATCGTTTCAAAGAAGCATTTTTTGTTTTGTTGATTTTTCTCCATTTTCCTATTCTCTATTTCATTACTTTCCTCTCTGATCTTCATTATTTCCTTTCTCTTACCGGCTTTAGATTTAGTTTGCTCTTCATTTTTTCCCCAGTGTCTTAAGATGAAAGTTTAGTTTTGATTTGAGACCTTTCTTGTTTTTCAATACTGATGTTTATAACTACAAATTTCCCTCTAAACATTGCTTTAGCTGCATCCCATAAGTATGTTGTATCTTTATTTGTCACCTTATTTTCTAATTTCTCTTTGATTTCTCCCTTGGTTATTTAGATGTTGTTTAATTTTTACATATTTATGAATTGTCAAGTTTCTCTGTGTGTTATTGAGTTCTAATTTCATTCCATTATGGTTGTCAAAGGAAGGTACTTTGTGCAATTTCAGTGTTTTAAATTTATTGAGATTTGCTTTAAGACCTAGCATAGGTTCTGTCCTGAAGAATATTTCATGTGCACTTGAGGAGTAGGTATATTCTGCTGTTGCTGAATGGAATGTTGTATAGATGTGTTAGATTTAGTTGTTATATAGTTGTGTTCAAGTCTCCTATTTCCTTGTTAATCTTCTTTCTAGTTCTGTTCATTACTAAAAGTGAGGTATTGAAGTCTCCAACTGTTATTATTGAATTGTCCACTTCCTTCTTCATTTCTGTCAGTTATTGATTCATGTATTTTGGTGCTATATTACTAGGTGCATGTATATTTATAATTACCATACCTTTCTGCTGGATTGACCCTTTGATCATTATGAGATGAATCTAAAGTACCTTTTTTTTTCTTGGGCTGTGCCGCGTGGCTTGTGGGATCTTAGTTCTCCAACCAGGGATTGAAACCGCGCCCTCGGCAGTGAAAGCACAGAGTCCTAACCACTGGACTGACAGGGAATTCCCTAAAGTACTTTTGTAAACAGCATTTTTTTTTTATTCCAGTCTGGATCTTGTTTTCTGTTCCAGTCTGAAGATCTCTGCCTTTTGATATGATTATTTACTCTCATTTAATGTTACTGTTGACAGTTGGATTTTTGTCTACCATTTTAAAATTTTCTATATGTCTGTATTTTCTATATGTCTTTCTGTATGTTTCTGTTTTGTTTCCCTGTGTCTCATTTATTGCTTTATTTTGCATTAAGTAAATATGTAACATTAAAATTTTTTTCATGATGTTTTCTGAATTATTTCATTGGTAATTACTCTAGAGCTTATCATCCATCTTATCAGAATCTGCTTCAGATTTATTCTGACTTAATTCTGTTGAAATATCAGAACATTGCTAACATTTACTTTTGATTTCTATGGCTGAAGTATATTCATTGCCATCTTTATGCTTGTTTACATTGTTTATATTTATTTGAAATATTGGTGGTCTGTTTGTTATAACTATAAAAATAATCTGGAAATAATTTTCTTTACAGTTAGAATCAAGAATAGAGGAACTTAATAAAGAAGTTCAAGCTTCCAAAGATAAAGTACTAGCTCAAGACATTGCAACTAAAAATGCAATTCAGCAATTACACAAAGAGATGGCCCATCGGATGGAACAGGTATTTTTAAAGGCATTATTATTATTAACTTTCTGATGATTCTTTGTTTATTAAGTAACCCTTTTAGACAGTTTTGGACATTAGTATGTATTAGGATTAGGATTTAAAAAATGCTAAAGCAGGGGGCTTCCCTGGTGGCGCAGTGGTTGAGAGTCCGCCTGCCGATGCAGGGGACATGGGTTCATGCCCTGGTCTGGGAAGATACCACATGCCGTGGAGCGGCTGGTCCCATGAGCCATGGCCGCAGGGCCTGCGCGTCCGGAGCCTTTGCTCTGCAACGGGAGAGGCCACAACAGTGAGAGGCCCGCGTACTACAAAAAAAAAGAAAAAAAATGCTAAAGCAATACATAAATGCATGCTGACAACAAAAAACTTCAGCCTTTATTCCTGTGATTCTTTACAATATGCTTACCCTGAGCATTAGGAATGTTATATATTTAAAACTTACACTATCAGTTCTCAAACCTTTTATACTAATTAAAGAGAAATGTAGAAGGTAAGACATTAAGAAGTTGTTGGTCTTAGTGGACCCAAACATAGCTTCGTTAGAATAACTTAGTGTGCTTTAAAAATATATATATTCTTGGGGACTTCCCTGGTGACGCAGTGGTTAAGAATCTGCCTGCCAATGCCGGGGACACGGGTTCGATCCCTGGTCCGGGAAGATCCCCATGCCGTGGAGCAAATAAGCCCATACGCCACAACTACTGAGCCTGTGCTCTAGAGCCTCCGAGCCACAACTACTGAAGCCTGTGCACCTAGATCCCATGCTCTTCAACAAGAGAAGCCACCACAATGAGAAGCCCAGGCACTGCAACAAAGAGTAGCCCCCGCTCTCCGCAACTAGAGAAAAGCCGGCACACAGCAACAAAGATCCATTGCAGCCAAAAATAAATAAATTTATAAGAGAAAAAATGTGTGTGTGTGTATACATATGTGTGTGTGTGTGTGTGTGTGTGTGTGTATTCTTGGGGACTTCCCTGGTGGCGCAGTGGTTAAGAATCCACTTGCCAATGCAGGGGACACAGGTTCGAGCCCTGGTCCGGGAAGATCCCACATGCCACAGAGCAACTAAGCCCATGTGCCACAACTACTGAGCCTGCGCTCTAGAGCCCATGAGCCACAACTACTGAGCCCATGTGCCACAACTGCTGAAGCCCACGCAGCTAGAGCCTGTGCTCCGCAACAAGAGAAGCCACCGCAATGAGAAGCCCGCGCACCGCAACGAAGAGTAGCCCCTGTTCTTCACGTCTAAAGTCTGCACGCAACAACAAAGACCCAATGCAGCCATAAATAAATAAATAAATAAATTTAAATATTTATGTATATTCTTTGGAATATTTTAAAATAGAAACAAAATGATAGTAAAATGTGCACAATATCAATTCAAACAGTAAAACATGTCTTTTTCCAAACTTTTTCTCCCACTCCGCACCCTTCCCAGAGGCAACCATTGATGCCAGTTTCCTGTATATCCTTCTCAGAATATTTGTTGCGCAGACAAGCATTTATTTATTTCCTTTATTCCTCCCATCCTCCCCCCCGTTTTTAAACAAATGGCAACATACTACACTCAGTACTCTGTTTCCTCTCTAATGATGAGTGTAGGTGAGGTTAATAATAGTAGCTGAAAACGGTTTACAAGTCTTCACTTATTTAATATTCAGAATAACCCTAAGAGGTGGGTATTATTATGTAGATTTTGGAGATTGTTCCATTCAGTTGTTTCTAGATTGGCTTCATTCCTTTTCTCCCCTAACTTTTCCTCTCAACTTTTTGATTTGATAATTTTTAAGCCTGTAGAAAAGGTAAAAGAATAGTAAAATGAACACTTGTTTTCCCTTCACCTAGAGTCACCAAACCTGGTGAGTTTTATTTAGAAATAGCTTCCTAGCATGAGTGTGCACATGTTCCTGCACACACATGTGTACACTCCCCAGTTTAATTTTCCAGTTTGAGGTTTCTCCATTTCTCAGAACATATATGTAGAATGTATCTGAACCTCAAATTTACAGGAGGGTAGAGTTAGTTATAAATTCTTAGGGACTTTTTAGCATGTCTCCCTCAGCCCTACATGACCTCATATTGGTAAGTATTCAGCACTAATGAAGCATTCTGGATTCCTGCTACAGTGTAACAACCACAGATACATCTTTTCTCTTTTTGCTTTTTGTTTTTTGTGGTATGTGGGCCTCTCTCACTGTTGTGGCCTCTCCCGTTGGGGAGCACAGGCTCCGGACGCACAGGCTTAGAGGCCATGGCTCACGGGCCCAGCCGCTCCGTGGCATGTGGGATCTTCCCGGACCGGGGCACGAACCCGTGTTCCCTGCATCGGCAGGTGGACTCTCAACCACTGCGCCACCAGGGAAGCCCTCCCATACTTTCTTGTGAGCTCAACTGTGCATTAAAAAAACATTCGTTGTATTTCATCTAAAATTTTGGGTGTTTTGAATGGGGAGGGTTCATCTGCCATATTTGGAGAAGCAGAAATACTTCTGCAGTTTATCTTAATTTTAGTTGACTGTTGAATCCTATCAATTATGTTGCTCATCTCTTCATCCAAGTCAATGATAAACGTCTTTTTTTTTTTTAAGATGTTGGGTGTAGGAGTTTATTAATTAATTTATTTATTTTTGCTGTGTTGCGTCTTTGTTTCTGTGCGAGGGCTTTCTCTAGTTGTGGCAAGTGGGGGCCACTCTTCATTGTGGTGCGCGGGCCTCTCACTGTTGTGGCCTCTCTTGTTGCGGAGCACAGGCTCCAGACGTGCAGGCTCAGTAGTTGTGGCTCACGGACCTAGTTGCTCCGCGGCATGTGGGATCCTCCCAGACCAGGGCTCGAACCCATGTCCCCTGCATTAGCAGGCAGATTCTCAACCACTGCACCACCAGGGAAGCCCAATGATAAACATCTTAAACTAGTCAAATCCGAAGACTTTTACTGACTCCTCTTTCTCTGTGCCATAATGGACTGACTTTCAATAGAAGCTTAAAGAGTAGTAAATTATCTCATTTAATACTCCCAACAATCTATGAAGTAGGTGCTGCTATTATCTGGGGTGGGATATAGAAATGTGAACTTTTAGCATCCCAGGTTATTCTTTTTTTTTTTCAAATCCATTTATTTATTTAAATTTTAATTTATTTATTTTTGGCTGTGTCGTGTCTTAGTTGCGACATGCAGGCTCTTCATTGCACTGCGCGGGCTCCTCTCTAGTTGTGGTACGCAGGCTTCTCTAGTTGTGGCACGAGGGCTCCAGAGTGCATGGGCTGTGTAGTTTGTGGCACGCGGGCTCTCTAGTTGAGGTATGCAGGCTCAGTAGTTGTGGCACACGGGCTTAGTTGCCCTGTGGCAAGTGGGATCTTAGTTCCCCAACCAGGGATTGAACCTGCATCACCTGCATTGGAAGGCAGATTCTTTACCACTGGATCACCAGGGAAGTCCCACCCCAGGTTATTCTTTTGCAGCTGATTCAGGGATGACTCTGAGTAACAGGACATTCTGGTGCACATCCCCTCCTGTATTTAAGAACCTTATAATATGTTGTTTCATGTATTATAATTATTTGTTTTCTGCTGCTTATCTCTTAACTTCAGTGAAGTTTCCATGTTGCTACCAGGTATCTTTTTACAACACAATTTAATTTAATAAAATTTAAAACACCTTTTATTAAATCCGTCTTTGGCTTCTCTTTGCCTGTAGGATAAAATCTTAAATCATTAGCTGACAAGAAGAGAAGTCCTTCTTCCTTTCAGGATCTGATCTCTACCTCCTTTTCTGTTTTATAGCTACTTCCTCTCCACTGCAATCAACACACCAAATTTAATCACTACAGAATAATTTAATGTCCTCTAAATATATCATGCATGCTGTTTTATACTTTTAGGCATTTGAGCATGATAACAACTCTAGCTTGAATTCCTTTCCTTGACTGATCCCTTTACTGAGTCCTTCAATGTCTAGCTCAAGTATAGCACCTAGTTCAAGTACAAATAGCATCTTTCACCCTTCATGCCAACCCTTCCCAGGGACTGTTAGTGTTTTTGTATTTTCAAAGAACTTTGTACATTCATCCACTAGAAATTATTTGTTTTATAATCTTCATTTATGTGTTGTTCTTACTAGGTAGTGAGCTCTTCCAGGACTTACCATGGCTTATTCTTCATTGTGTTCCCAAAAGCGAATCCATTATCTAAGCATTAAGTTATCATGGAACTGGACTTCTTTTAAAGTTGACATTACCATTAGTTGACTTCTTCTAAGTACAGTTATTCAATTATCTAAAAATCTAGCTAATTCTGTCAGCCAGTTCCATCACGGTTTTGTCAGTCATTTGTCCACAAGCACGTCATCAAATCCTCAGGGATCTCTGCCATCCCTATTCCAGTGTTGTCTTAAATTTCTCTTGAAAATTAGTAGGCTATTTCAATGGGGGAGAAATCCCAATTGGACGATTTTTAAAAGTACTTATATGTATAGTATTTTGAGTGGTTACTAGATGTGCTTATCAGCTGTAGCAGAACTTCATGAAACATTTTTTGTCAGTCACTTTCATCAGAGCATAGGAGGTTTCCCCACATTAACCTCATGCTAAACCTACTTCAATTCAGTTACAGTATTAGTTGGAGTTTACCACTAGATGCCATTGAAGATCTTTAAAGTTTAAGGATCCATCTTCTGTAAAATAAGTATGTGCTTCATCATATTTGCAAACTATGAATTTACTTAAATGAAGGGCTATCTGTAGAAGTTTTCATTGTATGAAATTTCACAGTATGGAGTACCAGCTTATAGTTACAGAGAATTTTAAGTTAGTATATAGATAGATGTCACACCTAATCCAATTAGGTATTTCTTGTTAAAATGCCAAATACTTTTCATACAGAGGAACTCAGCGATCACTAATTAGTATATTACTTACTTTTTTGTGAGGGAGCTAAGATCATAGATTTTAGAAATTGTCAGCCATAGAGTCAGGATCCTGACAGAAAACAGAAACTGGTGATTTGGGGAGAATTTCATAAAAGGACTCTTTACAAAGGTATGGGTGAGATTTAGGGAGTCCAGCCTGGGAAAATGCAGGATCCTGGGGCTGCTGGAGGAGCCATTATCACTCTTTGGGCTAAAGGAATAAGGAGACAGTGCAGGTAGTACAACCCAGAGAAGGTAGTTGCATAGAGAGGTTACCTGACAGGAACAGTGTATGATTCTGGAGGAGCCAGATCTCATTCTCTGCCTACCCTCCTAATCTTCTGCTTAGTGCCTCCTGTTGGCCAAACCCAACTGGAAGTATGAGGGCAAAGAAACTTGTTGATATGGTCCCTGATGGTCACTTTCCCAGAGCACAGGGTGGGCTAGGAAAGAGCGGAAAAGTGATCTGAAGGAGTAAACAGAAAATAGCAACCATATTAGCTAAAGGAAAAGGAATAGGAAAGGGAAGAAGCAAATATTAGTGATATTAATTTGTTCATTGTATCATTTCTCTTTTAAAATTTCATGTCACAGGTCCTAAAAATCTTGTGTAAAAGACCAAAAAATACATTGGTGATATTACAGGAAAATATTATTTGTTTTAATTAATTTTTATTTGAAAAATATGTTTTATTAATGCTAGATATTTTTTTCAAAGGCCAACAAGAAATGTGAAGAGGCACGCCAGGAAAAAGAAGCAATGGTAATGAAGTATGTAAGAGGCGAGAAGGAATCTTTAGACCTTCGAAAGGAAAAAGAGATACTTGAAAAAAAACTTAGAGATGCAAATAAAGAATATGAGAAAAACACTAACAAAATTAAGCAACTTTCTCAGGAGAAAGGACGGCTGCACCAGCTGTATGAAACAAAGGTATAACTTTTGATATTGTATCTTATTTGAAACTTACTCTCTTTGCTTTTCTTTATTTAATCAAATAATCATAACTTAACATGGTCAAACCACTGTTAAACATAAAGTTGTTTTTCTTAGTTTACCTTCAAAGAATGTGAATGCTTTAATAATTCCAATATCTTGTTACTTAGCTGCAAAAAGTTTTTCCTATGAAAAGATGAGAAACTGACACGTTGTTTATTAGACAGATCTTTTTAAATACTTTCTTTTAAAATCTGCATGTTGAAGAAATGACTTTGTGCTTCAAAGGAAGATTTTATTTTGGTAAAAGATATACATGGTGTGTCAAAATGTGAGTAGTTTTTGAGCCAGAAGTATACTTTGACCAGAATCTTAATGTAACACTTACTTACACATCATAGAATTTATATTTTACTTGGAGAAAAACATGTTCTTACATGCTGTCCAAGGAGATTTAATTACTGTGCTATTTAGAATCCTTGCTATTAACTAGCATCCTCATGGCATGGTCTTGTGCCCAGTAGGTTATCATTTCTTGGTAATCAATGTTATTTTTTATTAATTAACTTTTAGTTCAGGAATGTTGTCATTGTTCTCAAGAATTCTGGCAAAACCAATTTAATTCATATTTCACCTTAATGTCAGCCAGTTGAGAAGAATCAGAAAGGTGTGCTTATACTCACAGTGTACTAGTTGGTTAAAATATAAATGTTAATCATCTTATGTCTATTAATTGGTTTTAGGCTTTTACTGTCCTCTTATGAATTGAACTTTAAGTCAGTTTATAGGCCGTAATGTGCTAGCCCTGAATTATAGTGTTATTGCATTGATTATCTTGAGATATAAAAGATACACAAATGATTGGTTGGTTGTTTAAATGAAAAATATGACCTAGTGATATTATTTTAGGAAGGTGAAACTACTAGACTCATCAGAGAAATAGACAAATTAAAGGAAGATATCAACTCTCAAATCATTAAAGTAAAATGGGCACAAAACAAATTAAAAGCAGAAATGGATTCACACAAGGTGAGTACTGTAATACAGTGGAAAAATTACTAGAATCAGTTAGAGCATGTGCAATAATAGTTATTAATGAGGCATAAAGCTTAGTGACTCCTGTAGGATAGCTTGGGCCTGAATATTTGGTGATTGTAAAAAGATATTTCCTTGCATGATTTACATGTTAAATTGGATAGAATGTTGTTTTATCATTCATTGTTTTTAACCCCCAATGACTTTGTTCTTTAAGCATTTTTAGTGTTCTATATTTTATTCGGGGGAAGAGGAGAATATGTAGCTTATCAGAATTGAAAGTAAACTCTGGAAATTCTTTAAAGATTATTAGTGATGATACAATTCTTATAATCAAGAAATGTGAATTTTTATTTAAATATAAACATAACAAAGAAAGTTTCCTTATCTGTTTATTATGAATATAATTCTACTGGTATTGTGTATAATGAATATCATATTATTAAACAGTAATAAAAAGTGGTGATAAAGGCTGGTACCTGATGCCATAATTTTAAGCACTAACTGAACTGGTATAAGCAGTAATAAAAATCTGAAGATGATAGAATGTGAAGTAAAAAAAAAACTTTGAAATATGATTTAAACAAAAGAGCCATGTTATTTATAACAGTTACCACATTTTCAAAAATAGGCTTAATGATATTGTTTAAATTATCATTGGCATCTCTTTAAATAATCCTAAGTTGGTAGAACTGTTAACCTTTGGATATTTGTATATTATAATATCAGAGAAAACTGTAGGGAGAAGTGTCTGTTGACAGTGGTCAAAGATAGGTTAGAGAATGGTAGGTTTCTGAGCTAATTGCTGATCAGCAGATGAGTGTTAGGAAACTATATGGGCAGAGAAAGAACTGCCAGAAGGAGTAGGGGCAACAATCCTTAGGGCTCACACAGGGCTACAAACCATTTAAAATTATATTTGACACAGGAATCTCTCAATTGCTATGTTTTGAATAAATGAAGTGAGTACCTACTATGTATCAGGCTGTTTTAGTTATTGGTGATATAGAAGTGGGGGGTAAAACAGATAAAGTTCTGTTCTGTATCTCTCTCTCCTTGTTGAGCTAATATTCTCATATTTTAAAAAACAATATTTGAAAAAGCCTTCAAATGTTTAAATTTTAAAAGTAACACAGTTTTAATATAAGTCAAATTATTTTTAAAAGATCTGCAACTGAAAGTATGTAAGTAGGCACTTAATTGTATGGTAGGTTTATCCAAAAACAAAATGCTGTATAAGAAGTGGTGTGTGAAGGATAGATGCAATTTACATTAAGAGATGACAGGAAAGGCATTCCAAGTAGAGGAACAGCAAGATAAGAGAGAAAAGGGAGATGAATATTTGGTGTTTGAGAAAGCCAACCTAACTAGAACAGAAGGTTTATGTTAGGTATTCCTTTGTTAATTCAACATTTATTATGTGAACAATTAATAATATGTGGCAATTACTGAGCTAGGTGTTCTCCAGAAGCTGTATCCTCAGTGGGGGAAGCATGTAAGCTGCTGTACAATGTATCAAGTGTTACAATCAAGGGATTCCCTGGATTCTATCTATGGGAAGGCAGAATAGCAACTTCTACCCCTTTCTGAAGGGAAGCTACTAGGAGGAGATGATACCTAAACTCTCATTTGAAATCCACATGATAGCCCAAATTATGGGACTGGATGGGTACTCTGAAGGGGAACGTTGGAGCTACAGGGTAGGGCTGTACTGGGACAGTCACCACAGGAAGTCTGGCTAGTCAAGAAGACAGCGAAGGCAATGATGAAGTGGGCAAAAACAGGAGTATGTTGTCTTGTAAACAGAGGAAGGCTATTCAGAGTCAGGAGTGATCAGAACTGGAACAGGTAAGTCAAGAAGAAGAAATGCGAAAAAGCAATTGGATTTGATGAGAAAGTAGTCCCTGCAGACCTTCAAAATTGTTATTTTAGGAGAGTAGTTAGGAACAGAAACCAAATTGCAGCATGAATCTGTAAAAAAGTTTTGAATAGATACCTTGGCCATAAACCAAACAATTGTCTTTTATGTGGGTCTACAAAGAACTGCTTAAACACTTTGCTCTTTTTGTCTTTTCAGGTTAGTAACTTCTAGTGATTTGATGAAAACTCTATCAAATTTAACTTTATTTAATGACTATCAATCAACTTGTTCAGGCCACATTTAGTTTTTTGTCAGAAGCATAAAATGTTATTACTAGAATAGTATCTGACTCCAGTGGCAGTGCTAAGACAAAAACTTTCTCTACTGTCTGGTCATTGTTCTCACCATTCGTCACATCACTATGCCAACCTTGTTGCTGTCTGTAAAGGAAAAACCCAGTTTTCCTTCAGTGTAGGGAAAAATCCAGTTCTCTCTACTGTGGGTTTCTTCCCTTTGTGTCTCTTTTACTTTTACACAGAACACTTCACTTCTGTCACTTCTGGTTACCAATGTGAGAAGGCTTTTCCCCACAACAGGCAATTCTCTGTGATACCAGCTGAGTGGCCTACAACTTAACTCAGTTTTGACACTATCGATCTAGAGATAGTGTCAGATCCCACAGGTTAAAGGCTCAGTCCCACAAGACTTCCCCCACCTCCCACTTCAGGCACCAGTCCCAAGCCCAGGTTATCACCTGTTCTTCTGATCAACTGGCTATAGATTGGAGGTTCTAACAACCCCCCCACCTTGGGTTCAAAAATTTGCTACAGTACCACACAGAACTCGGGGAATGAGTACAGTTATGTACCTTTATCAGTTTATTAAAGGACATTATAAAGGGTCAGATGAACAGTCAGATAAAGAGATACATAAGGTGCAGTCTGGGAAGGTCCCAAGTGCAAGAGCTTCTGTCCCTCTGGAGTTAGGGTGTGTCACCTTCCCGATAATGGATGTGTGCACCATCTGGAAACTCCCCAAACCTCATACTTTTGTTTTTTTGTGGAGGCTTCATCACATAGGCTTGAGATTGATCATTAACTCCATTTTTACCCTTCTGCCTTCTCAAGGGAATGGGGGACAGGGTTGAAAATTCCAAGCTTCTAACCATGGCTTGGTCTTTCTGGGGACCAGCTGTCATCCAGAAGTCCAGTCAGAGTCACCTCATTCGAACAAAAGACACTCATATCACTTGGGAAATTATGAGGATTTCAGGAGCTCTGTGACAGGAACAGAGGTTAAAGACCAGTGTTAGAACAAGAGATGCTCCTAATGTTTTTATCACTTAAAAAATTACCAGGGTTTTAGGAGCTCTGTGCCAGGAACTGGGGACAGAGACCAATATATATTTTCTATCATCTCACATTGTCTTTTTGTCAATGCAGGAAACCAAAGATAAACTCAAAGAGACAACAACAAAATTAACTCAAGCAAAGGAAGAAGCAGATCAAATTCGGAAAAATTGTCAGGATATGATAAAAACATATCAGGTATGCTTAAATTTTTGAATAGATTAGTAACAAATTATGCCAGATATCAATACTCTTGTTTCATAAATTTTTGTATCTACAATATTCGAAGTGTGGAATAGATTTGGTAGGGCAGCTAAATTAAATACAGGCTATTTCCTATGTTAAAGTACTTGCAGGTTAAATAGAGATCTTACTAGAGAAGTTTTTAACCAAATAAAAACACTAGAAAACGTTAGAAGAATGAAGAGTACAAGAAAATGTATAACTTAAAAAAAAAAGCCCACTCTATTATGTTATATATGTTAAGTATGCTCTTCTAGTTGGTGCAAAATTGATGTATTTAAAATCTTTGAATACAGTCATCAATTTTACATACATGAGCTATGTATTTCACGATGAGGAAACTTAATTGCAAAAGCCTTCTTCACATTTCAAAGCATAAAACTTTAAAAATTGTCATACTTTTGTCATTTCTTTCCCATTAGGAGTCAGAAGAAATTAAATCAAATGAGCTTGATGCCAAGCTTAGAGTCACAAAAGGAGAACTTGAAAAACAAATGCAAGAAAAATCTGACCAGCTAGAAGTGAGTAGCTTTGTTCTTTGTATACCTTGGATGGTATAATACAGAGGAGAGAAACAACAAGTACTTATTGCCAGCTACTTTTAAGGTCTTCTGGAAGGAGCAGGTAATAAATTTTAGATCTGGTTTAGTATATAATGATTTGTGGTTTCTTTTAAACTTTTTTAAAGATGCATCATGCCAAAATAAAGGAACTAGAAGATCTGAAGAGGACATTTAAGGAGGGCATGGATGAGCTACGAACACTGAGAACAAAGGTAATTCAGTCTTTAGTCATGACTCCAGAGGAAGGGTAACTATCTTTAATTTTGTACTCGTTCTGATTTTTAAATCTTGGGGAAAGGATATTTATATAGAAATATTCCAAAATCAAATAGTAGCATGTCAACTCCCTAGCAACAAAATTGGCTCTTAGAGAAATAAAAGTGTCTTCCATTTCAGTCCCTTTAAAGTGTTTGCCAGACATTCCTGTTTCACAGTACATTTGCTTTATCTATAAGTTGTCCTTGGTCCTCTGTTACATGGGCTTTAGAGCTGTGTCAGAAAATAATAGAAAGGGACTGCCCTGGTGGCACAGTGGTTAAGAATCTGCCTGCCAATGCAGGGGACACAGATTCGAGCCCTGGACTGGGATGATCCCACATGCCATGGAGCAACTAAGCCCGGGCGCCACAACTGCTGAGCCTGTGCTCTAGAGCCCGTGAGCCACAACTACTGAGCCTGCGTGCCTGGAGCCTGTGTTCCGCAACAAAGAGAAGCCACCACAATGAGAAGCCTGCGCACCGCAACGAAGAGTAGCCCCTCTTGCTGCAACTAGAGAAAGTAGAGAAAGCCTGCACGCAGCAATGAAGACCCAATGCAGCCAAAAATAAATAAATTAATTAATTAAATTAATTAATGAAAAAAGAAAAGAAGAAAGAAAATAATAGAAAACCTTTACATTTCTCCTAGGTATATTTAATAGTCTTGTATACAGTTTTTTAAAAAAATGTTTGCTTGCTTGCTTATTTATTTATTTATTTATTTGACTGCGTTGGGTCTTAGTTGCGGCACGCAGGACCTTCGTTGCATCATGTGGGGTCTTGTGGCACGTGGGCTCTTCATGGCAGCGCGCAGGCTTCTCTCTAGTTGTGGCACACGGGCTCAGTAGCAGCATGCGGGCTCTCTTAGCTGCGAGCTCTCATGTGGGCTCTAGAGCACGCAGGCTAAGTAGTTGCGGTGCACGGTCTTAGTTGCCCTGCAGCATGGGGGATCTTAGTTCCCCGACCAGGGATCGAACCCACATCCCCTGCATTGGAAGGCAGATTCTTAACCACTGGACCACCAAGGAAGTCCCTTGTATACAGTTTTAATTTCTAACAACCTCTTAAATCTTTTCCAGTGTTATGGTTCTCATTTTAAGAATATTTGCCCTTTTAATATAAGTGTGAAATATGTTATCATTATATATCTTTCATTTATTTAGAGATAGGCTTTTAGGTAACCACCTTGAATTTGCGATCACTTAATAATTTTTAAAGTGTCTTTCATGTACCTTTCTATTTGTTCTTCATGCCAGTACTTTGAGGCAGATAGGGAAGGTACATCCTCTTTTCAGATGAGAAAATGGAGATTCAGCCAGAATGAGGCGGCATGTTAAAAATCCCATGACTATATCATGAGAAATCTGAGACTGAAACCCAAGACTGTTAACTTCCTATTATATTTTCTTCATGTTAATTAATATTGCTTCAGAATTTAGCTTAGATTATTAATATATAACCACTGTCTGAAATAGATAATAAAGAACAAGAAAATATTGTTTGTAGTTTAACTCGTTTATGATTATTTGATAGGTAAAATGTCTAGAAGATGAACGATTGAGAACAGAAGATGAATTATCAAAATATAAGGAAATTATTAATCGCCAAAAAGCTGAAATTCAGAATTTATTGGACAAAGTGAAAATTGCAGGTCACATACAGGAGCAGCATCAAAGGTATAAAATGAGCAATTTCTGTTTATGCTAATCAACAGGCTTTTTGTTTCTATCTTGTTTCTGTTTTTAAATGCAATTGTTGCACTAAATAAGAGTAATTTTATATTTTACTAGATTAAAAAAACTTTAATTCCTGTCTTCATTTGAACTTATTTTGGGTTATCTTTGTAGTTCCCATCACGGCTTCTAAAAATCAAAGTTTATCTTCCCTAAATATTGGCAGTAGTGTTTTGTTTTTTTTTTTGGCAGTAGTTATTTATAAGACAGAATGGATTGTAGTTTTTTATCCGTTCCTTAGCTTTCAAATTCTATTACTTATACACAGTAGTTTTTCTTCTAAAAGATAGATATGTATCTATGTCTATATCTTTGCATGTATGTAGCTCAAGGTCAGGAGGTAACATTATTCCTTGGCTTCTTTTCTTTTTTTTTTAAATAAAGTTATTTTATTTATTTTTGGGGGCTGCTTTGGGTCTTTGTTGCTACGCATGGGCTTTCTCTAGTTGCGGTGAGTGGGAGCTACTCTTTGTTGTGGTGCGCATGCTTCTCATTGTGGTGGCTTCTCGTTGCAGAGCATGGGCTCTAAGCATGTGGACTTCAGTAGTTGTGGTGCGTGGACTCAGTGGTTGTGGCTCATGGGCTCTAGAGTGCAGGCTCAGGAGTTGTGGCGCACGGGCTTAGTTGCTCCGCGGCATGTGGGATCTTCCCAGAGCAGGGCTCGAACCTGTGTCCCCTGCATTGGCAGGCGGATTCTTAACCACTGCGCCACCAGGGAAGTCCTATTCCTTGGCTTCTTATAAAGCCATTTAGCTAAATTCTACTTATGACATTACCTCAGAGAGCCTGGATTCAGGCTGGATCCAGATACATTCTTTTTCATACCCTACCAACACCCAGGCTGCGATTCTTAACACCAGGGAAGTCCTATTCCTTGGCTTCTTATAAAGCCATTTAGCTAAATTCTACTTATGACATTACCTCAGAGAGCCTGGATTCAGGCTGGATCCAGATACATTCTTTTTCATACCCTACCAACACCCAGGCTGCTGAGTGTTGCTGAAGAAATCCTCAAGATCATCCAGATTGATGCTGCTATAAATTCATGGTTAGCAGCCAACCTCAACTGGGAATACTAATTCACCTCCAGTCCTACCATATGTCCTTAGTCAGAGCCTTCTCCCCATCTTCTTAGCATTATTCCAAACCTTACTGCTTTCTTCACACTTCTGATCTTCCCTCTCACCTTGCTCTTTACTCTTGTCAGGCGATTACCTCTTACTTCACAGAAAAAGAGGGAGCTGTCAGGTGACAGTTCTCTCAACCTCTTGCTATCAGTCCTATGAACTTGCCTGCATCTGCAGTCATTTTTCTTTTTCTTCTGTTATTATGGAAGAAATGTTCCTATTCTTTCTGAATCAAATTGTCCCTACTCCTACTGTGGATCCCATGCTCTTCTGCCTTCTCAGGGTCTTTCTTGATTATTCCTTCTTTATCCTTTATCTCTTACCTCCCTCTTTTTACTGACTTTTCTTCTTTCTACATTTAAATATTATATCTTAAAAACATCAAAACTCCTATGATCTCCTTTCTCCCTTTCTTTACAACCAAAAATGTCTTTATAGAATCATCTGTGCTTGTTCTCCATTTCTTCACATGCTTTGTTCTTCTGTTCCTCTCCATTTATTCTAATTCCCCAGCATTCCAGTACAAACTGCTAATGCATCCTTAAATATAGTAGATACTTCCCAGATTAAGCCTTGCTTGAATTTTCAGTATGGACACACTAAGCCCATTACCTTTCTTGACATGCTCTGTTCTTTTGGCTTCATTTCCTGTACTTTCCTGGTGTTCCTCCCCACTTTCTGGCCAATCTTTTCTGTCTTCTTGGCAGCCTTCTCTTTATGTTATAAAGCTGTTTTTTTGTTCTTATTTTATTATAACCCTGGGTGATCCTAACTCTTCCAGTAGTGTGCTGCAGGACCTTCAAGTTAATTATCATCAACCCTTTTTGCTGAGCTCCAGATACACAAGTATCAAAGACACCTCAAACTTATAATATGTCCAATACTGATTCATGTATCTTGTCCACAAATATGCTTCTCTGATGTTCCTGAGATGAATGATGAGTGTGACATCCACATGATTTTCCAACCCAGGAACCTGGGAGTTACCCTTGGCTCTTCTTTCCTTTCCCTCACACATGTAACTAGTCACAAAATATTTTTGATGCTAACTCTTTAATATCTTTCAAGTCCATTTACTGTTTACATCCCCACTGCTGCTACCATTGTCCAAACCATTATCAGCTCTCCTGGCAAACTGCCACGGCTTCTAAACTGTTTTGTTTTGTTTTTTTCCTTCCCTTTTAGTCTGTTTCCTACACTGTGGTTAGCATAATCTTTTTTACAAAGGAAATCTCAAACCTCTCAATGATTTCCCGTTACCTCAAGGATTGCCTAGTGAGTTCAGATGGCTTAACATGGCTTGGAAGATCATTAGTAACCTTGCTTCTCCCTCTGTGCCTTCTCCTTCTTTATTCTGTATTTCAGCAATAGTTGGTTAACAAATGTTAATTAATTGTCTCCTAGGTGCCGAGCCCTGTGTTAAGTGCTAGGATATAGTACTGTCCTTATCCTCATCAGTATTGAACATCTGTTCGTTAGTACCAACAAGAAGTCATTCTCTTGTTCCCTTCCCAGCTTTGCACATACTGTTTCCTCTACCTGGAACATATTTTGTTTTCCCACTCACTGTTACTTTACCTTTAGCTCAGGAATTAGCAAACTATGGCCCAGAAGCCAAATCCAGCTCACCGCCTCTTTTTGTCAATAAACTTTTTTGGGGGAACACAGCCACTGTCATTCCTTTATGTATTATGTGTGGCTGCTTTCACACTACAGTGGCAGAGTTAAACAGTTGTAACAAAGGCCATATGCTCCAGAAGCCTACATTGTTTACTGTGTGGGCCTTTTATAGGAAAAGTTTGCTAACCCTTTAATTATTAGTTTACTCATCACTTACACTAGCTTAGGTGACCCACTCTGTGCTTTCATCATCAAAAATGTTTTTTCACACTGCTTGACTAAAAGCTCTTTGAAAGCAGGGGCCATGTCAGTCTTGCTTATGTATATTCCCAGCTCTCAGTTCCTAGCATATATTAGGCATTCATAGTAATCCAAATAAATATTTGGATGAATGAATAAGAGTACCTTCATAAAGAATTTCATTTGATGAAAATTCTCAAACCATTAATGTCTTTTAATAGTTTAATTTTTTTCTTAAATGTAAACTTTGTTTTCTAGAGGTAAACAAGAAATTGAAAATTTGAAGGAAGAAGTGGAAAGTCTTAATTCTTTGATTAATGACCTACAAAAAGACATCGAAGGCAGTAGGAAAAGAGAATCTGAGCTACTACTGTTTACAGAAAAGCTCACTAGTAAGAATGCACAACTTCAATCTGAATCCAATTCTTTGCAGTCACAGTTTGATAAACTTTCCTGTAGTGAAAGTCAGTTACAAAGCCAATGTGAACACGTGAAACAGACAAATATTAATTTGGTAAGTATAAGTGTACATTTAACTTTTAAAGCAACATAGCAAGTAGCACAAATTAAATTTCCCTAAAAGCATAAACTTAATGGTAGTTGATTAAACTCTTTTTTTTTGGCACTGACTTTCTGATAATTTCAAATGCTATGAGAAATGTCAGTTTTTTCTTTCAACTTATGTAGTTTATAATAAAAATTTTTCCCTAACATCGTTAGGAAGAAATATTTCACTTTTGAAAGCAAGAAAACCAAGGTTTTTGTTATTCCTAACTGGATTTATTATATATTTCTTAAAAGAACTTTAAATTTCTATATTTTTATAGCTTAAAAATGGTTTAATATTTCCAAGTAGTGAGAGTATCTTCAGGTTACTCATAAAAATAATTTGAGACTTTAAACCAGAAATAGAGACCTGAAAAAAAAAAATACAGAGACCTGTATCACATGTTGTTTTACATGTATGGAATGGCAGATGCATTAATATATCCCCCTGCGTTACTGTATAAAGAATTTGAGGAGCTCAGTAAACAAAACCTGATAATGAGTGATGACAGAAGAATTTACTATGAAAGACCTTGTATTTTTAAGATTTTAAACTGTGAACAGTAATTGAAACAGATATTAAAGTTGGTATTTTTTATCTTATTTAATATTTAGGAAAGTAGATTGTTAAAAGAAGAAGAACTGCGAAAAGAGGAAGTCCAGACTCTGCAAGCTGAACTCACTTGTAGACAAACCGAAGTTAAAGCATTGAGTACCCAGGTCGAAGAATTAAAAGATGAATTAGTAACTCAAAGACGTAAGCATGCCTCTAGTGTCAAGGATCTTACCAAACAACTTCAGCAAGGTATAAAATTTTTCTACACTTAGACCTTGAATGTTTTTGTTTCTTTTCATTGTTAAGGATTTATAGAAAAAGTATATTTTACATCAGTTTCTCCCACATTGATTAGAGCTGTATCTTCTTTTTAATGTATTAATGTGAATAAACCACATGGCTGACCTTCTTGTAGTTCCATGAATAGTTTATAGAATGTTCTATGTTAAAAGACATTCACAGAACCACAAAATGTAAGAATTGAGAAAGTACCTTACCAAGGCAGTAGTGTCTAGACTTTGTTGATCACATACTGCTGTCAATAAAAAAGTATTTAAGTATTTGTTCTCCAGTTTGTATCTAGTTATTTGTAAATTTTAAACATGTAATACTCTAGTTTATGCACGTTAGAAAAACATGAAAAATACAAATTTAAAAAGATTAGATTAAATATAAGTATAAATAGAGTTCTGATATTTTCTCCCAACCCTTGTCTGTGAGTTGGTTTGTGCAGCATCTAGGGTACCTGCCCCCACCTTGTAGACCTCTCACTTAGAGATCATTGAACCCTAACCCTTAATCTTAGGGGAAACTGAGACCCAGAAAGGTTATAAATTACCTGGACGCAACAATTAACATCTAGAACTGGAACCCAGATTTCTTATATTTAAAAATTCATACAAATTGGGAGTCTGTGTTATGTGATTGGATACAAAGATGAATAAGAGATGTATTCTGACCTCCTATTCTCTGCTATTCCCCACTGCTTTATTTGTATTAAAATAGGGTGAAATATAGTAATATGGTAAAAGAGACTTAGCATTTACTTAATATAAATATATTCAGATATTTGCCATAAGAATTTAGTTTGTTTTCATAGATGTGATTGAAGGGAAATTTGGGGAAAATTTGTGGTACTGTAGAGCTCTTCGAAATCTTTCAGGACTCCAAAAGTTAGGTTCTGTGTACCTAAGTGATTCCAATATCAGTTGTTATCATAATGTTGTTTCCATATATTTGTATATGACCTGTACATTTCTAGATGTCATTTTATATGAATGACTCTACAGACCTCCTTTCGAAAGTACATGTTCAAGAAATTTCTCTTGTTGTTTATGCCATTTTGGCCTAAGTGATTTTAGCAATTAAAATCAGAGATAGTGGGGGCCAATGGTCATGACAGTTGTTATAAGTAATCCATTTCTTTTTCCTGCAGCACGAAGAAAGTTAGATCAGGTTGAGAATGGAAGCTATGATAAAGAAGTCAGCAGCATGGGAAGTCGTTCTAGTTCATCAGGTGAAAAACTAATGGTTTTACAGTTGTTTTTTAGTGATTGATTATAAAAAGAAATAGCATTTTTCGGGAATTCCCTGGTGGTCCAGTGGTTAGGGCTCTGTGCTTTCACTACTGAGGGTGTGGGTTCAATCCCTGGTCAGGGAACTAAGATCCCATGAGCTATGGCACGGCCAAAAAAAAGGGAAAAGAAATAGGATTTTTTGTTTAAAAAGTATCAATATGCTTTTCTTTAATTTTGAATTATAAAAAGCAGTAGTTGTACATAATTATGTTGTAAAAAATATTTCCAGTTAAATGTTTAATCATTGGACAGGGTTTCAAGTTTGTCATGGGTTTCTATAACATCTGTCTCCCTACCTCCTTTTACTTACCTGCTTCTTTATTCTGTGCAACAGTTTACTCTTCCATTTTTAAATTCAGATTTGTATCCATCTATAGAGAGATTTGGTGTAGTATGGTCTTTCTTTTTCTTTTAATTTTATATTACTTTTAACACCTGAGAGCTAATGAAATGGTCATCATTATATATCAGATTTTATATATGTGTGTGTGTGTGTGTGTGTGTGTGTGTGTGTGTGTGTGTGTGTGTGTGTGTATGCTTTTCTCATGGTAAATATACCTATAGTCTAAAGCAAAAATTAAATCTATAAAATTATGATCAGTAGCACTGTGAAAATGATAATTGGCAAATATCAGCATATTTACCATTTTTGGAATGCCAGGAACCGTGCTAAATGTTTTAAACATACCATTTACAGCCATGTGAAATAACTGTTGTATTCCCATTTTACAGATGGGGAAACTTAAGATTCACAGTGGTTGCATGACTTTCCCAAAATCCACAGTAACAGAACTCGCAGGCTCTGGAGTCTGCACGCCACTACATACACTGCCTCCCAGGAGTTGCACATTAGGGGAAAAAACATCATCAACTGTTACAATAGTGGGAAAATTGTGTAGTAGAAAGAACATGGGTTTGAGATTACACATTGGGTATTTAGATCCCGGCTCTATCATTTATTTGTGCATGACCTTGGATAAGATATATTACTTGTCTTAAATCTACATAATAGGGTTAGGAAAAAAATGTGTCTTTGTAGGATAAAAAGGATTAGAAATTCTTCTCAAATGATATTGGTAAAAATAATAGCTTACATTTACTTAGTGCATACTATATATGCTGTTCATGCACTTCAGACATGTTAACTAATTTAAATGAGGATAACAGTCCTATGAGGCAAATCATATTATGATTCACATTTTGAAATGAAGTGACCTTGATACAGAGAGTTAACTTGTCCAAAGTCACACAGCTAGAAAGTGGGGAAGTAAGATTTGAACCTAGGAATACTGGCTCCAGAGCTTAACCCACTGGCTATATTCTGTCTTCTGTCTTTATCTGTGTCTGTCTCAGTTTAATTTTGGTGTCACTTCAGACTTGTTTTTCTGACTTTTCTTGAATTTCTCGTTTCTCTATTGCACTTACTCATTCTGTTCCTGAGAGACATACTAGACCCTTCTTCCTCCCTTCCTTCCTTCCTCCCTCCCTCCCTCCCTCCCTCCCTTCCTTATTTATGGCTGCGTTGGGTCTTCATTGTTGTGCACAGGCTTTCTCTAGTTGCCATGAGTAGGGGCTACTCATTGTTGCGGTGCTCGGGCTTCTCTTTGTGGTGGCTTCTCTTGTTGTGCACAACAAGAGAAGCACAGGCTCTAGGCACGTGGGCTTCAGTAGTTTTTTTTTTTTTACATCTTTACTGGAGTATAATTGCTTTACAATCGTGTGTTAGTTTCTGCTTTATAACAAAGTGAATCAGTTATACATATGTTCCCATATCTCTTCTCTCTTGCGTCTCCCTCCCTCCCACGCTCCCTATCCCACCCCTCTAGGTGGTCACAAACCACCGAGCTGATCTCCCTGTGCTATGCGGCTGCTTCCCACTAGCTATCTGTTTTACGTTTGATAGTGTATATATGTCCATGCCACTCTCTCACTTTGTCACAGCTTACCCTTCCCCCTCCCCATATCCTCAAGTCCATTCTCTAGTAGGTCTGTGTCTTTATTCCTGTCTTACGCCTAGGTTCTTCATGACATTTTTTTTTTCTTAAATTCCATATATATGTGTTAGCATACGGTGTTTGTCTTTCTCTTTCTGACTTACTTCAGTAGTTTTGACGTACGGGCTTAGTTCCTCTGCGGCATGTGGGATCTTCCCGGACCAGGGATTGAACCCGTGTCCCCTGCATTGGCAGGCAGATTCTTAACCACTGTGCCACCAGGGAAGCCCTAGACCCTTTTTTCTATCATCAGTGTATTCAGAAACAAGAACTCAGGTCAAGTATGACTTGTGTTCTGTACCCAACTCTGTTAAATTCAATATGTAAAAATGATGCTAGAAGAAATAATATATGAGATTAGAGTTGACTCCAGACTAAGTACAATAAGTGGATTTTTTTTGTCTTCAGGGTCCCTCAATGCTCGAAGCAGTGCAGAAGATCGATCTCCAGAAAATACTGGGTCGTCAGTAGCTGTGGATAACTTCCCAGAAGTAGACAAGGCCATGCTGATTGAGAGGATAGTAAGGCTGCAAAAGGCACATGCTCGGAAAAATGAAAAGATAGAATTTATGGAGGATCACATCAAACAATTGGTGGAAGAAATTAGGAAAAAAACAAAGTATGTATTATTATGGTACTGTAATCTGTGTTCAAAATACCATTATTCACATGGTAAAGTTATTGTGTTCAAAATTAGTCATATCAACAGCTTTTCTTTCAAAAAATAGTTCTTAAAACTATAGTCATTCAGTTCCCAATCTTTTACTGATAACTTATTTATGTTCTAGGTTTTGGGACTACAGACATGAAAGAAAACACAGGTCTTTCCTTTTAAGGTGATACAGAGTTCAGTAGACACTAATTTTTTAAGATACTAAAATACCTTTGGACTTAAAAACAGATAGTGCTCTACTTAGCTTTTTATTTTCAAGACGGTGGTTTTAAGAGATCCTGGGGTTGTGGATTATCATTCCTGTTGGGCAGGACATAGTGAGTTATTATTGGGCATCTACTAAATATAGTAGAGAAATATAAATAAAAGGCACTGTGCCTGTGACTTAACAGTATCTCATTGATTTCTTAAAACTACCCAGGGAGAGAATGAGTCCTTTAGTTCAGGGGTCCCCAGCTCCCGGCAGTGCAGGCTCCCCATCGCTCACATTACTGCCTGAAATAGCCCACCCCACGCCCCAGGCTGTGGAAGAATTGTCTTCCACGAAACTGGTCCCTGGTGCCAGAAAGGTTGGGGACCACTGTGTCTAATTTGATAGGTTAATTAACGGGGGCTCAGGTCAAATTACTAAATGTTCCAGAGTCACCACTAATCGTGTAAGTGACAGACTGAGAGTTGGAAATCCAAACCCAGCTCTGACTGGCTCCAGAGCCTGTGCTGGGCCAAATTCCTCTCACAGATACCATATTCATTTAAGTAATACTGTGGGTCTTTACCCATGACTTAAAAATTTTTATTTTGAAATAAGTTTAGACTTAGAGAAAAATTTGCCCATGACTTTTAAACGAAAAAGAGTAAAACAAGTTTTAAGTTTAATGACAGGAAAATAGAAAATATTAACTGAAACTGGAACAATAAATTGCTCACATATTTTGATTTAAAGTAATAAGGAAAAAAATAGAAAAGCAATGTTTATGTATCTTTAATCTAAATACCATTTTAGAACAAAAAAGGGATTGTTTAAGAAACCATCTGAATAAGGAAAACCCCTTTATTTTCTAATATAGTTCTGTTATTAACTAATAGATAATTACTTTATGCTAATCATCTTTAAGCTTATGATTAGTCGACTCTTGCAAATTACAGTGTTTGTAATTCTGCAAGGCCGTAACTGATAGTGTCGTTTTATTTTGCAGAATAATTCAGAGTTACGTTTTACGAGAAGAATCAGGCACACTTTCTTCAGAGGCATCTGATTTTAACAAAGTCCATTTAAGTAGACGGGGTGGCATCATGGCATCTTTATACACATCCCATCCAGCTGACAGTGGATTAACATTGGAACTCTCTTTGGAGATCAGCCGAAAACTACAGGCTGTTTTGGAGGATACGTTATTGAAAAATATTACTTTGAAGGTATTTGTATTTCTCATTCACTTACCAACCAATAAACACGACAAAAATGGTGCCTCTTTCATAGTTCGATCCAACACATGGATGGACTATTTCTGTAATGCAGGGTAGCCATTTTTTCCATAGATAAAATTTTGTGTTTTTTCTCTTTTTGAAAAGTACAATTTTTTAAATTAGCAGGAAAGAAAGAAATAGCAAAAAAATCAGTTTAGCTGTTGGATAGATGCTAAGATGAGTCATTTACCGAGTCACTTACTTTGCAATGGGTGGCCTTTGACATATATTACAATTAGTTATAATTGATTACTGAGACTTTAAGATTGAGGCATTTATTTTCTAATGTATTCCAGCTTTATTTTATTTTTTGCAGCTGTTATCTGACCCAGCTATTCTATCTGTGCTGTTTGGGCCTTGATGGTTAGTAATGGATTTAAAAAATAATTTTTTAAACCTGGTAATATTTTTAGGCACTAAAATTTGCTATAGCTTCAGTAAAAAGAGTGTCTGACTCTGAAGTGTACAGGATTACTTTACTGAAAACAGCCGTGTGCGTAGTTTATCTCGCATGGCATTTAAGACTGTCACTGTTTCAGTTCAGAATTTAGGCAAAAATAGTTCAAACTGAATCTTTTTACTTATTATACTTAGTAGTTCTGTTTTCTTTTCCCTCTTTTTCCAATTGTTAAAGGAAAATCTGCAAACACTTGGAACAGAAATAGAACGTCTTATTAAACACCAGCATGACCTAGAACAGAGGATGGAGAAAACCTAACACAAAGTTCTTCCTCAGTAAACAGACAAAAGCTACACAGGGAGCAGGTGCCATTGCCCAGTATTGTTGGAAACTTTTCCCTGCTTTGTGTGTCAGCCAGTAAAAAATTTGTTTTGCTTCATCTGTATGAAAAAGTACCTTTTTACAATACAAGTGCATTGCTGTGTATACTGTAAGAATGTAAGCTTTGATGAAACTTGTTTTTGTGTGGTGACAGCCTGTCATTGAATCAGAACAACTTATTTAATTTGCTGATAGTCATATGAAGTGCTGAACATTATGATAAGGGCTTTTGAAAACCCTTTCTCCATATTTCTTCCCTTTAAAATATATAATCTCAAAAATGATTTCACTTTTCAAAATTATGCATGAAAGGACAGGTGTTAATCATTCAGTAATATGTTATTTCTCCAACATGAAGAAAACTAAAGAAGTGATAAAAACTTGTTTTGACATTCTAATATAACATTTGCTTGTGTGTTAGGGATGCCAATGAGTTCTTAAACCATTTGATTTTAATGGAAGCTAATAGGAAAGCTAGCTTTTGGCAACTAGCAATGATCAGGCATTGTATGCCCCTGTCAGGTTTCCTTATTTGTGCTAGGTACATTTTTTTCAGATTCGAATTGAGTTAATAGTTGAGTTTTTTAAATCTCCAGTTATGTAAAATATGATTTTAAATAATCTGCTCATTTAGAGAATTCCTGTGGACTTCAGTTATATTTTAAAATGTGATTAGTCTCATTAGAACAGAGAGATGAATAATGAATTCTTTGAAACTGAAGTACTTTAGTTTTACTGACATCAAGTATAAAGATAAATTTAAGATATTTATAAAGAACCAGTTCCCAAGAAAATCCAGCATATGGCACTGTTAACCATTTTGTCTGTGCACCATTCTTTACTGTTGGTATAACTATATATTATAGTGGGGTGATCTTACAGTCCCCAGATATGATGTGTTTGGTATATTTATTTAAAATAGAAAACAATTACATCTCCATAACCAAAGGAATTTTAGAACCAAATTCATCCTGTTGGAGTTTTACCATATTTATGATGTACACTTAAATGTTGACAGTCATAGTATCAGTATTTCTGTCACTGAATTTTTTTCTCACCTCTTGTAATTTCTCACTTATTTTAATTTTTGTGTGTGGTTTTTCACATTTTATTATATTCAGATAATTTCTGTAGTAGATACCTTGGTACATACACAGATGTTGCAGCAAGCCTCATTTTCGTTTTGGATTTTCGCCAACTTCTTTCTCCCCTTAACAGAAGTAAGCTTTGCGGTGGATTAAAAGCCTTTAACGAATTGTGTGGCTGGGCTTCCCTGGTGGTGCAGTGGTTGAGAGTCCGCCTGCCGATGCAGGGGACACGGGTTCGTCCCCCGGTCCGGGAGGATCCCACGTGCCGCGGAGCGGCTGGGCCCATGAGCCATGGCCACTGGGCCTGCGCGTCTGGAGCCTGTGCTCCGCAATGGGAGAGGCCACAACAGTGAGAGGCCTGCGTAGCGCAAAAAGAAAACCCCCAAAAAACAAGAATTGTGTGGCTTTAAAAGTTGGGCTGGGCTTATCGTGGCAATTTCCCTTCAGTGTGTTTTAACTTTTTTTTTTAAATCAACATTGCTTAAAAAGATCAGTTACTAAGGATTAGATAATTCAATGCAGCATTTTTTCTGTATATTGAGTTATATGTTGTCATCTAAAAACAAAATCTTTTCACTTCAGAATGGAAATACAAGTTCAGAAACATTTTATATTTAAAATAGCTATAAAACTTTTAGCCTTACCATAATGTATCTTGTTCTTTTTACCAGTAATAATTTATCAAAATAAAGAAATAAGAGGGTAAGTGCAATCACATCTGAATTATTTTCCAAGTTGTTTTTGACAATACTATCGATACTCCCAAAGACTATTTAGAGTAGTCAACATAGCTAAATTTTTATAGCTTCTTATGTGATATATATTCATACACTACAATATTTGTTTTTTTCCTCCCAAGACACAAAATGTATTAATGGAGACCAAATAGTGGTCAGAACCATAGTATTCTATGTCTATACACCTTAAAAATATATATACATCTTTTTGCATACATATATTACATATGAAAATGAAACATTCCAATATTAACATTTGTGCCAGCATTCACTTAGAGAAGTTTAATGGTTAAACAATTTTAGAAGAATGTAATTATAAACCATATTTTGACTTATTATTACTTTTCCCACCCATAAATATATGGAACTGTGGAAAACTTGAAGAAAAATGCTTTATTTTCCTTTTGCTCCTTAGTTTCTACTATATCCTTTTGTATATGGATCAGGACTGAGCAAAGTGTGTACAAAAATGTGCATTTATCAGCTCCCTCTCTCTAAACTGATTCACAGACAGATTCTGATGTAAACATTTAGAGGGCCTTCTACCCTTACTGTACTGAATATATGGAGAGAAGAATGGGGTGTCTAGAAAAGGAAAATGGTCCGGATAAACTTGAGATCTAGGAGAAGTTTTGTTTTATATGTTTATTATTAATTGAACACATCAAATGCTGTTTTTGTTAGCAGTATTTTGGTTTCTTTGAGCAGGAAATTATTTTTGTGTGTGTATATATATATGTATACACTTCACTAGGTTCAATTTTAAAGTGAATACTTGTTGTGACTCCCTTTTTCCCATACCACTTCAAACCTTAGCCTGATAAGTTTTAAGGATTGAAAATGGTGGGTTTGGGCAGAAGAATGAGTTTAAACTTTAGTGGGTTTTTTTTTTTTTAAACTTTCTATCCATAACCATTTAAAGCAGATTATCTTGAAATTAAATTTTGTCAGGCTACCAATATGTTATTTATTCATGTAATAAACACAGTTATTAGAAACCTCTTATTGCCAGGCACCATACAGGGTATCATCATTATACTGGTAGACAGACCAGACAGGGCAATTCCTGTCCTTATGGAGCTTATGGTCTAGTGAAGACAGCTGGGAGGCAGTAGGAGCGGCTCTTTAAGCCTCTGCAGCTCACAACCAGCCCCTGTTGGAAGAGGGTTAATTCACTTGTGCAAGTAGGTGACCCAGAAGTCTCACTCTGGCATGAAGCTTTGGGAAATGAATCCTTGCTGAGGTACACTGAGAGCAGATTGCCGTTTTCATGGTGGTTCTGCACATTCCTAACTTTTTTTCACAGCTTGGTGTTTTAATTATTCTTTAAGAAGAAGGAAAAAAATCCAAAGACTATAAAATGGTATTTGATTTCTGCCATTTTAGTAAATTATTAATGTCTGCTTGATGCTTATAAAGATAAATCTAATCGCATTGTCATGCATATTTCCAAACTTTGTTTTGCAGTATACTCTAAAGACTTTTACATATAATTTTAGACCAAGATTTACCAGTAGAAGGAAAAAAGCACTGGAAACCATTAATATTATAAATGTTATATATGCTACCGTGGTGAAAATATTTTTATCAGTCATGTTATTCCATATCATTAATTTGCCTTATGGATGCTGAGTCCAGTGGTCTATCTTCCAGTAACCTTTTTAAAACAAAACAATTCTTTTTTGACACTAAGATTGTTAATTTTTAACACCAGTTAGTGGCACTAGAAACCTGAAAATTTTCAAGGCTGAACAAGAGAAGATAATCCAAACAAAGAATTTTCAGGAAAATAAATGAAAAATATAATTGTATATTAAAGATGTATTTTTCTTCTGGAATGAAATTCTTTTTTAAAATGCATATGGCTGTCCATTTTGACTATGATGAAACTTGTTTACCTTCCAAAGTTCATATATATATATATGTGTGCATTGTACAGATAGATAATCTTTAGTTTGATTATACTGTTCATTTTGTAAATATGTTTCTGTATAAAATGAAGCTTTTCAAGAGAATTTTATGTATATATTGTACTTATTAAATAGGTAATGCCTATTTACCAAGTTGTATTTTACTGGCATCTTTGTCTATTTATTTACGCACACCACTTGCTAACAGACTGATTCTCCAGTCTTGGCAAAGCCTGATTCAGATTGCTTGAATTTTCTTTTTTAAACCAGATTAAGAATTTTTGCTTTCCATTTTTGTCTTTACTGATTACCATTAAAAGTCAGTGAACAACAGTAAGCAAATTGAATGCCACGTTGTATTTTAAATTTTTGTTTAAATTATTGATAGCAAAATTAGGCCTTTTATAAAAGGCCTTTTATACATTGCCTATGTGAAAATTTCTCATTGAACTTGACAAGCCAGTAATAAATTCAGATTTTCCACAAAATTATGGAACTTACTTGCCCAAATTATCCAGCTTTAACAATAAAGATCTAATACGTTCAATAAAAATATATTGAAATGGCATTAATTTCATGAAGGTAACGTGTATGGTGGATATTTCACATCACAATGTGTTGTTTTCCATTTCTCTTAACAGTTCAAGTACACAGATTATGCAGCATTCCTTAAAGAGTTAACTATTGGAAAGAATCCCCTGAAATCAGGATCCTTGGAATAAAGGTAAAATTAATAGAATAGAGGAAGCTTTCCTGACATCCTTAATCTGCGTTCAGCAACTTGTAGATTTGTTTGCAAGAGAAAGGAATATATAAAAGAAGAGGGTGAGTTATTGGAAGAGTATTGGCTTATGGTTCTTAACTTCAGTGTGACCCACAGTCGTAAAAGACCATTCCAACAAACTTAAATCCAAGTCTGTTTTTTTTAAATAAAGTCTGCTTCAATCAATGAGTGTAGAATGAATGCACACTTCTTCAGGACCAGCAACTTGGGAGGATGCCTCTGGCTGACCAGTGCTAATGCTCTTTTAATGATTCTGAGAACAGTGTGACCAGACTTGATGTCCTTGCCCCTGCAGAGATGCACCATTAATTCCTAAGTTACATTTAAGAGACTTGATTCTTATTTTTTAAAAGAAGCATCCACTTAAGTAGTTTTCTATTTCTGAGGAATTTTCAGCCTTTAAATTGTCCAAAGGACATGCTTCTTGCCAGTCAGACTTGCCAGTCTGCCCCCTAATTGTACTTCAAAAAAAAGGATAGGATGTTAGACCTGAGAGGAAAATCTCTACCATTTAACCCAGTGCAAAAAGAGTTCTATTGAAAGTTTAGGATTCATTGAAATAAGAAAACTTAGCTTGTTGAGAGTCAACTTCTAGTTACATTTACTTGGGAACTATATTAAATACTAGAATCGCTTTCCACATCATCCATTTCACTGTGTAGTTTTTGCTTTTAATAACTAATTAAAGGCCCAAGGGCAGGAAATTGTGTGT